GTGTGTGTGTCGTATATATATATATATATATACACACACACACACACACACATTCTCGTTTTAGGCTACTTGTGTAATATTTAATGATCTTTCATTAAGAGACAATATTTTACTTATGAATTGTTCTTAAATTCATACATCAACATTAGCATATTAGTCAGATTATAATATTTTATATTAATAATAAATTGATTAAATAACTCATATTTTAGAAACAAAAAATTATATCTAAATAATAAAATTTGTAAGCTAATTTATTTAAATAAATTTATTAGTATAAAAATAAAATATAAAATAAATAAAATATTAAAAGGATTTGAGGGGATATTTTTGTCTTTACCTAGAATAGTCCGATAGTATTAGAGCTAATACCACCAAATGGAAGGTATTAGTTATACACCCTCCAATATCATGTAGGGTGCATAACTAATCCCTAGATTGTAAATACATAGACCCAAAATTCCTACCAAACATAATATAAATAATAGCATACATAATACTTGTACTATGTCTCCTAATACTCCCTACCAAACAACCCCTAAGTATATTAACTTATGAACTCTCTAACGAAATTACTTAATGACTCAACAATAAGGAAGGAACCGTAAAAATATTTTTCACACTAACTTTTAATTCTGACTCCGCCTCTAAATATATTACGAAAGAACAAAAGGACAATCTCATTCAATTGTATAATTAGATGTGGGTGGTCTCCCTAACAAAACCCAAATGAATGGCCTAAAACAATGGACCATTGTTCTTAATTCACTTTCCAATAATATCTCAAAAGACAAACATCCTCCAAACTATATATCCCATTCTCCAAAAACCCACGAGCACCTATTTTGTCTATTTATCAAAGTATTATTATTATTTTTATTATTCCCAATTAAACATTACATTTATAAAAGAAAAAAGGATTAAATAGTATATCAACTTCAATATACTTTGTGAAGATTTTCTGGTCCCACCCTAACCCACCTTAGCTACTTCTAATATATATCCTTTAGTCTATGCACTTATTACCCCATAAATAAATTAAATCTAAAGTTTTAAAGGAAAAAAATGAATTTTAAAGAAAAAATTTATTTATGTCATTATTTAAAATTTTGATTTTTTTTATATTATTTGAGGTTATTAATTAACAAATAATGATATAAAAAAGTATTTTTTTCAAAAGAAAATAATATGTATGAATTTAATGTATGATATAGATGAGTCGTTTCTTAAAGTTCAATAATATAAATATGAGTCCTTTCCACTTAAAATAATAACCAAATATTATGTTAAAGTATTTCTTAATTTGAAAATGTAATTTTATTTTTTTCAAAAAGTTATCTTTCATAGTTACCTTATGGAGTACTGACTAGGGTAATATTTATATAAGCTTTATTTTGATTTAAATAACGCTTATCAAAGCGTAATATTATTGATATAATTTTTAAAAGAAAAAATATATAATGATTTAAGTAATGCTTAGGTCAACTTAGTTTCTTTTTCAACAGAATAAAGTGAAAGAAAATATTGAGTGTTTGCTAGGTCATGGATTCGATTTATATATACCAACCTAGCAATATCAAATAAATTTTGAACAAATAAAAGATGAAACTATTCGTAGGATCGAAATAATTAGATGTTATGCGAAAGCTAACAAAACAAATTTCATTAATCACGAGTAAGAAGATAAATAAGAAATATATCAGAAAAAACACAAAAATTTAACGTAGTTCGAACAATTAACTTTCATCCACAAGGAGATGAACAATCTACTGTATAAATATGCGAGTGCAAAACATAGAAAGAAATAACCTCACTCAATTCACTCAGAACAAATAAGTTCAGACAATTGATAACGTATCACTTGTGTCCCACAAATTCTCCCCCCTAGACAAAACTGTCAAAACCCATAAAACTACATTGTAAATGCTACTACATTAGAAGAACGATCTTTTATCTCTAGAGTCTTGAACTTTTTTTTACAAGGAAAAGATTAGTCAAATATGAAAACTTAAAAGGAAAACTCATTTATAATAAGAAACTCGATATAAATACGCAATAACTACGATATTTAAAAAAATTGATTGGTGGGTCCCAAGGACAAGTTAATCAAATGGACTACTTCATACATCATGTGGGTTTGTTCATTGTAAGATGCCAAGGGAGCAATTATACATTGTACCAACATATTAAGCTTTTAATTCATAGAATCTAATCTTCATTACTTTATTTTTCATCAAATTAATTAAACTTACCAAGAAGTAAACCTTCTTTTTCTTCAAAGTAAATAAAATAAAATCCCCTAAAGTGAAAATTCATTTTGGAGATCAAAATTCTACGTATATCAGGATTCCTAATCATTTTTTGATTATATTTTTTCAAATAAAAAAAGAAGTGAGTAAAGCTACATTTGACCAGTCAAACAAAAACTTTAGAAGCAATATTTCTAATGAATGAATATTTATTTAAATTTCTATGAACAAAATGGGATACTAATTGCTTCACATGATGTACAATTTTTCATAACAAGAATCGTTTATTAAAAATAGTTATCCATTTATTTTTCAAAGTGTTAAGATACATTCATTCTTGATTTAGTAATTTTTGAGTCAATATCATCTTTAAAGTTCTTAGATTGAATTTGAACTCATTTAATTTTTAAAATTATGAGTTCAAATTATATATTGGTTACAATTTTAGTATTTAATTACAAAGAAAATTTCTGAAATAGCTAGCAAAGATAGTAGAAATAATAAGGTTTAATGACTATAGATTCAGTAATTACGCTCCATAATAATAGTGATGTTTATTATGAGGTTGCAATTCGCATATTCCGCTTGTCCGTTTGCATATTTTGCATCCCAATATACAAACAATGTAAGTATATATAAATTTGCATTTTTATATGTTTAGGAATTTTTCAAAACTCCGTTGGTATATTTCGCTTTCCAATATACAATCGAGGTAATTTATTATGAATTTTCCAATAACTTACACAAATCAAATGTATTAATAAATCGTATACAAAATAGCTAGAGGAAGCATAAATACACAAATTCTGAATTTATACAATCAGGATCAAATTATATATTTATACAATTAGGACCCGAGCAACAAAATTTTGCGAAACTATAATCACAAATTAAAAATAATCGAAACTACAACTATATTACATAATATACTCTAGATGTTTGTCATTTCATCTACTACTTATAAATTCCAAATAATGACTATCTCAACTAATAAAAAGAGTTTTGAGAAGATTCAAAAGAGTGTCTTTAAATATCTCTTCAAAGTATGTAATCACTCCTCAACAATTCATTTATATTGTACTAGAGGAAGTAGTCAATTAAGTTGAATTTATGTGGGATGAATTATCTTGGGAGGTAATTGATTGGGGTGTAGTTAATTATGCCTAAAAAGAATGAGTTTTTGCATAGTACAAGGTTACAAAGAACACACATCATTATTTCCTAAATCCCCTTAAAAGGAACATATTAAAGGAAAAAGAGGAAATGTAAGATTTTAAGATTTTAGTAAAGGAAACAAAGTCAGTTGCTCGAGGAAGAAAAAAAGGAAAGAAGAAGCCAAACAAAGCACTAAAATCAAAAGATAAACTTCATTACCAATATGACCAAATCCAAGAAATAAATGAATATCAATGGGCTATACATTAGTTGTTCATTGAGAAAAAAATATTCTATATTTGACATACACTTTTAACAAATAATAAATAATAAAAATAAAATGACTATATTACTCTTTAAATATGTGTAAGGTTTTGAAAAGAATAATATTTGATAGCAAGGGTAATACAGACATAAAAAGATAAATTATCTCTTGATTTTTCAAACTGAATAAGTATTGCTAGACAACTATTTTTAGTATAGTAGACAAATAAAAACAAACAAAATATATACGGTCTGATTATTTTTAAATATATACATATACATATAAAGTCTTCTTAAAATATAAAATATAGAATATATATTATTGAAAATAAAATAAATTTATTTGTTACCATTTGTAAAAGTGGTCGATCATGTGGTGGTTTTAAAATTCCTTTTATGTCTTCGAGTCTCTATAGGTTCACTATCTATTTAGTTTCATTTTTAATTTTATTCCAAAATTGAAGATCTTGATCCCTCTTTTGAAAGTCCATTATGTTGAGATGATCACTTATAAGTTGTAGGATCAATATCAAAATAAAAAATAAATTATTAGAAGCAACAAAGTAGATGCATATTTTTTTTTTTGTATTTACAAGTTCGGATGCTTGAATTAAAATAATTAATAAATATCATTAGTTGTAGGACATTTTGTAAAAGTTATTGTTTCAATTAATTTTGAAATAAAATTATTCGGTAAAAGTTTTTTAAAATACACTAAATATATGAACGTGAATTGCAATATTCATTTTTATTTTAATTTTAGCTTGTAATTTTTTGATAGATACATTTTTTCTTTTAAATTCATGAACCTATAATAAATATAATTTAATTTAAAATCTTCTCTTTCAAAACTTTTGTACTATAAATAGAGTTTCTTTTAGTTGAAAAGAAAAATTACTTTTTTTTTCAAAAACATTTGTTAGGCATTAATTCAAAAGGTAAAATCATCAATTCAAGAATAGAGTATCAACGTTGTTGAATGCTATTTGTTTTGTAGCTTAGTTGAGTTTCAAAAATAGAGTCGTTATTTTTTTCTTTTACTTGCTCGTGAAAGAGACTGCAGCTATCTTTAAAAAAAATATTAACGTGGCCCTAAGCCAAGCAAATATTATTATGAATTCCTTGTACTTTAAATTTTCTTTTTCTTCACACATATGTATATATATAATAACTTGAACTCTTATTATATTTGATTATTTTATGTAAAATGGACCAATAATATAGTTAAATCAAAGATTAAAGACAAACCACTAAGGCTAGCTCCCACCCTTTCCTCTCTACCCCCTACCCCATAAACATATTATTGTTTATATATTATACCTATATATACTATCCATAAGGAGTTTTTTTTTTAAAAAAAAATAATAATAAAGAGCACAAAAGAAGAAAAGAAAAAGGAAGAAATTGGAAGAGAGCTAAATAAGTTCATGATAGTTTCATGTAAAGATTTTTTCTCCTTATTTCATTCTATCACACTATGTTTGTTTTAATAGAAAAAAAAATATCATTATTATTATTTCTTAACAAAAAATAAAGTTTTTTTTTAATTTTCTTTAGCTTCCTTTCTGCCCATTAAACATTGAAAATGGCAGATTAAGAATCATCATTTCCCCTCTAAAGGAAACACTCATCATTGCTCCCAACAATCTTTTTTTTTTTTTTGTAAACCTTAGAAACATTCTATTTCTTTTTTCATTCTTCAACAATATAAATATAACTCTTTTGTTAACTTTATTTCTCCCCTCTTTCTCTCAAAGTTTTTTAAATTAAAAAAAAATAAAAATGGATCCTTCTTCTACAAACTCTGTTAATGGTTTCTACACTTTTTTAACAAGAGGTATTGATGATCTTGAAAGAGTTTTTCTCTCTAGTAATTTCATGTCTATTCAATTCCTTCAAAGGGTACTTTCCCTTTTAAGATCTTTTCATACACAATTAACACTTCTTGTTCAAAAACTTCATTTGCCTGTTGGTGAAAAGTGGCTTGATGAGTATATGGATGAAAGTTCTAAGCTTTGGGAAGTTTGTCATGTTCTTAAGACTGGCATTTCTGGATTAGAGAATTACTATTCTTCTGGTTTTAATGTCATTTCTTCTCTTGAGAATCATCAACATCTTAATCCACAATTATCTAGACAGGTATTGTATAAATTTCATCTCCCTTTCATTAATTTCTCGTATCGTCGTTTAATTAATAGTTATTATTTCGAAAAAAAAGTGACTTTCTGAGTTAGTTAACAATTTTCAGAAATCAATAAGAGTTTGATTTCTCGTATCGACAGTTAGCTAATGGTTATTATCTCACAAAGTCACTTGAAATTCGAAAAAATTTAACTTTTTGAGTTAACTGACTTTATGAGAAATCAACACTTTTTTTATGTGAATTTATCGTATTATTAATTAACTAATAGTTGTTATCTCAAAAGATCATTTAAATTTCGAAAAAAAAAAGTATCTTTGTGAGTTAAATGACCTTTTGTTTAGGAGTTTGATTTCCCGTATCATTACTTAACTAATAGTTATTATCTCAAATAATCACTTAAAATTTGAAAAAATCAACTTTCTAAATGAGCATTCGAGAAATCAAACATGTTTTTCTAGCGTTGATTTCTGGTGTTGATCACTTAATTAATAGTTATTATGTCTGGTTTGATTTAACTTTCTGAGATAATAATCGGTATTAATTAAGTTGAGAATTTTTGATTTACAAAAAAAAAAACAGGTGAGTAGAGCAATAACAGGGTGTAGAAGAGAAGCAAATGGATTAGAGGAAGAAAACAGAGCATTAATGGAAACAAGAATTGAGCCACTCTCATTAAGATTTGATGAAATTGTTTCAGTAGAATCAAAGCTAAATGGATTTAATGGATTCAGAGGAGTACTTTATGCAATGAGAAATGTTAGTTCAGTTTTGCTAATGATTTTGCTTCATGGATTAGTCTATTGTTGGCCTGAATCATCATCATCTTCCTCTGATTTTTCAACATCAGAAACAGGGGGGTGTCTGTTTTTTGGTTCAAATTTTATGATATCAATCTCAAGATTACAACAAAGAATTGGTTCTCAGATTAATCAAATGAATCCAGGTAGAAGATCCATTTTGTTGTATGAATTTAGGAGATCAAAAGCAGCCATGGATGAACTTAGAGGAGAATTGGAGAATAAATGTGAAAATGGGATTATAAGAGAAAGAGTGGAGAATTTGAAAGCATATTTTGGGGTTTTGAAAAATGGCACTGAGAATATTATTGGACAATTAGATGATTTTTTTGATGAAATTGTTGAAGGAAGGAAGAAACTTTTGGATTTCTGCAGCCATAGATAATTCAAAAAAAAAAAATTAGAAGAAAAAAAAATGAAATACAAGTTAGGGTTAAAAAAAAATCTTTAGTTGTTGGTTGTATCTTTTTTGTTGGTTTTTATTTAATTTAATTTTTCTCTCTCTCTCTAAATATTAATCTTTTTTTTACTTTGGGGTTTTATTACTTTTTCTTCATGTGTAATTTTCTATGATGATGTAGTTAGGTGAGATCAGTCCTGTTTAGACTCTTTAAAGATGTTATTGAGAGTATAGCGTGAATATTTTGAACGTAGTATATTTTTAAAAAATTTGATAATATTTTTAAAGAGTCTGAACACTTTTTTAAAAAGTCTAGAAGGAAAAGAGGATTAATATAACATGATTTATATCCACTACTAATATTTTTTTACTTTTTTTTTTGGAAGGGACAAGTTTTTACTGTGTCCTATTTTTATTGATCAATAGAACACTTTTTTTAATGATTTGGTGTAATTCAATTTAAACCTTCATCAAGGATGGAGCCTATCGAACCACGTTGACGAAAAAATTATTATTTATATATGATTAATATTAATTTATATATATATATATAAAATAGATGTTAACTCTCTTATGATTTTTACTTCTTTAAATTCTGAACTTTCTTATCAAAATTTTTAGATTTGTCATTAATTTTCATCATTAGTAAAATTTGAAGACACTTTCGAATAGTCACAAAAAGTAAAAAAAGGAAGTATGATGAATATTCATGAAAGGACAACAAGTAGCTGTAAGGCAGAAGAAAGAAAAGAATGGAACCTTCTTTTGTTACTCAACCAAAGGAGACATTATGGGTCACAAAAATATATAAGTATTTTTGAATGTTTATTATGTAGGGAAAAAGAAAAAAATAATTATGATTCAACTCTTTAAGTGTGATGATGGAGTGTGCTGAGTTTTGTAATAAAATGATTTGAGTACCAAGAAAATGATGAAATTAAAAGAGAAAAAATAAAATAGATTCCTGGATTTGGCCTTTAATGTCCAAAACAAGTATGTGGAATGTCAAGTGTGGAAGCTTTTCTTTGATTCACTTCCCTTTTGCATGTAATGGACACTTTCAAATGTTTCCTCACCCATCCTCTTATATTAAATCCTAAACTCTATAACTCTTTTAGGCCTTGTTTAGTCAGAAACAAGTTATCTCGAGATTGATTTTTAGGCTTTGTTTAGATAGAAATAAGTTATCTCAAGATTGGTTTTTTAATGTGGGATACAGATATATAACAATTTCAAAATACTTTCTCTATTTATTTTTACTTGTTCACTATACTATTTTAGAATGTCTAACAAATTGTCTAGTTTATAAAATCAATGAATAATTTATCATGTATTTATTTTACCTCTGCTATTAAATACTTTTCATTTTTCAATGTTTATATAACTTAGATTCAATAAAGGTGATTTGGTAAAATTACTTCTATCATTTACTGCTTCTTAATCTCTATGTCAAGTCAATGGTGGACAACTATTGTTGGACAGAGAGAGTAAGTGTTTATGTGATTAAATTGCAATCGAACATGAGATAGACTCATCCTAAACAAATTCCGAAATTATCACTCACGGTTCACTACAAACATTTTCAGTTTAGTGGTATCGAGAGATTTCTAACATAATAATACAAGTTCAATTCCAGATGTATGCTTTCTTTTTCATCTGTCCTGACATGGAAGGATCTAGGATATTAGATACGAGTTTTGAGAGTTGGTAACTTTCGTGTAGATCTTAAATTTATATTGAGAAATTTATTAAATGCGTAAAAATTATACATTGAAACATGTTTTAAGCTTTATTGCCTTCCTCTATTAGAGTTTTAGTTCCATTGACATTTACAATATCATTAAAAATTTATAAATTTTAAATCTTCATTTATTGTTAGGGTGATTCTTATTGTTACCATTTTTCTTCCCTTATTTTTGGGATGTTAGATATTAAAATAATGATATGAAAAAATCGATGTAGCTTTCATATCCTGCAAACTAGATTTCATGTTTTTTGTCCCTTGACGGAAATTCGTGACTTGCCTCACTTTAGGGGTTTACTTAGTGAAATACCTAGTCAACATATTAAAAGATTAACAATATCAATTATGCATAATAATTAATATAATAATAATAATAAGAGTCAAAGAAATATAATTTTTTTAAAAAGGAATAATTGAAAATAATGAAAAATTGTCTTGCCACTGGTTTCAGCAACATATTCATTCTGTATTCTGCCTTAGTTGAAGACAATTTTCTGTTCATCTAGCATGCTTAATTTATTTTAAGTACCTGTAGAAATTACACATATATATTCCTAATAATTTCCTAATTATAATCATTGTCAACTAACGTACCCCCCCCCCCCCCCCAAAAATCACCTATCTGGATATAATTTTTTTAAAAAAATACAAAATGCACAAATAATTGTATTTTATAGATGGATATTATAAGTCTAAGCGTATATGATTGGATGACACTATCTTTTTTAATTAATATAGTTTGGAGGTGTCATGATTTGACCAATTTTTATAATTATTTTTTCTCATAATACACTTTTTTTTCTTTTTATTTTCCAACCTGATGTCTAAGTGTACTACATTTTAGAGCCTGGCTAATACAAATTTAGATATGCTTTGAAATTCAACTTTCCAGTACGAATACCAACCATAAAAGCGTGACCTAACCATCCTTTAGACCTTCGGAATTCGAAGCTAGAGGTGTCGGAAAAGTTATAACTGGCTTGTGGCAGCCAAGCGTTTATAGCGCCGTTGCTTTTAACACATCGAACAATGATTTTTGTTTTTCTTTATATTACTCAACCTGATGTCGAAGTCTGATATATTTTAGAGCCTGCCTAATACAAATTCAGATATGCCTTAAAATTTAACTAACACATAAAAAATAGTTCTACTCTTTGAGATAAAGAGTTTTCTGTCAAAAACGTGTATGCTTTGAAACTTAACTAATACAAATTCATTTGATATGCTTCGAAATCCAACTTACACATCAATAAATGATTTGATGTGTTGTCTAGTATGCTATGAAATCTGACTAATACAAATCATATTGAATATCGAAAAATAATTATACTTTTTAGATAAAGAGATTCTCAAACGTGTAACTAAAGAGAGAAAAAAGGTGCAAACTCTAAAATGAAATGTAACAAGTGCAATAGGTCCATTGGGATTTAAGTAGAAAAGACAAAAAGATAAAAAAGAAACCCCTCGCTTTCGATGACATGAAACTAGCAGTCAAGCCAGCGGATAAGGGGACAAAGAATAAATACTATTAAGGAACAACTTGCAGGTAACATCGTTTATGGCACTTTCCCAGGACCACGGAGTGGAACACAAAAATAAGTAGACTTGCAAATAAAAGAGCAACGTAAACTAAACATCCCACATTCACGCATGATTCAGGGAAAGACCGTACCTCAAGGAGTGTAATGTAACAGTCAACCTAGCTAGCTGAATCCCACGACTCGAATCTGTGATCTGTAGGTTGTACGAAGACTTTTATCATGCTACAAGGATCCCCTGTAACGTGTCAAGTGTCAAAAAGAATTCCTTAATTCATTTGGCAACTCATCAGTAGCAACCAGCAAGGATTGAACTGGAGAGGACCACAAAGCAAGTAAATGCACACAGTTCATAACTGGCATGGCAAGAAGGGTCAAATTAGAAGTGATGAGTGTATTAATGTGAGCAAAAAGTACTCATATAACAGATCAAAGCGTTCATGCATTCATAATAGAGACAGACTTGAATGAATTCAACAATATGCTTCCTGTCACACCTTTGAACCTTTATCCCTAAAAATACCACTTTCGATTTATTTAGTGAGTTAGCGTCTTACATTGATTGGAGAATGGACGGATGGTCTATTTATATGAACTTGGACAAAATCCTCCCCTCATGAACTTGCATTAAGAGTTGAATTAGCCTCAAATGTTATACTTCACATGGTATCAAGGACAGTTCCACCCTCGTTTGAGCTCCTAGTCCAGGCTCAAGTTGAGTCTAGGCATGAAGAAGGTGTAAGAATGGATTAGAATCTTACATTGGGTGAAGAATGAACAGATGGACTACTTATATGAACTTGAGCGATCTTCTCCTCATGAGCTTGCTTTTGGGGTTGAATTAGATTCAATAGTCATATCTTTACGTTTCCATATTAATATTTCTGCTCATTATGAACATTAAGACGACTAGGCAATAAAGAAGGCTGACTATGAGTTCTAGGACAATTATACACCATATAACAGTGAGATATAGACAAGGGAGGAGGGTTGTGCAAGGAAAGCTAACAAGGAGGTTGAATTCAACAAAACTTTCAGCTCGTCATATAAGAATATCAGTATGATTTATGCATTGCATGTAAAAAGATCTTGCCAGTAGGGTTTGCCAATATCCGTTCTGTCTCGTGGACTTTTATGCTCTTCTCCTGCAACTGTCACATAAAGTATTGATATATTCAGTCAAATCAAGTGTGACTTACACCAGTTCACAAGTATGCAATTTATCAACACACTGCCCTGGAAAACTCTTTGAGCAGATACCTGGGAAAAAGGATAGAAGTTTAAAGTATCAAAATCCATGCACAAACTATTATCCAACCAAATGTGTTTTAGTTGTGTAGCCTTCCAAGAATGATTAAGCAGTGACACATAATAAATGCATGAAGTAGGCTCTTTGATCTCGAGTAAACAATTTCACTCATTTGGGTTCGTCTTGCCAAGATTAAGATCAAGCTAGAAATCCCTCCTGCCAAAATTCCCTTGGCCAATAAAAAGCAAGTCAAACTTCAAATTAGTGAAATGATAGTAATGGATGGCCTTAACGAGATATGCTTCACTATAACCACCATAAATGGCACAACTAACCCCAGGGTAGAACAAACTACTATAATATCCGGCTGGAATGAGGAGTGTCAGCCATTCAGTCGAAAATAGAACAACACCTTCAGACTATCAGGTTCCTCTTCTATGAGCTGTGTAGTTCTTGAAGACTTGATCAGAAACACCAAATTCCAGTTATTTTATCTCCTTTTGAGAAGGATTTCTTAGTTTTTCTTTACAGATCGCTGATGATTCACTGTAATGCTATAGAAATAAACATTCACTAAGATATGTTCTCTAGTTTTTTATCGATCCAAAATATTCATTACTTTTCCTTGAGGAGGAAAACAATATCTATTTACAGAAGAGATCAACCACATCTATGGTCAAGTCAAATATTTGCACCTTTTTTTAAGCTAACTATCGTAAAAAATACCATTGTGTTGGTACAATTTAGGTTTGCGTTTCACAGATTGATATAAAGCACCAATAGTAGCACTACAAAACATGAAATTTCATTATCATAGGCCGAAAAGCATTAGGTGGTTGCACAGTTTGCGATTGATCACATAATTTCATTAGTGAGGGACAGGTGACAGCAAGAAACAGAAAGAGAGGAAGAGGATTCAGAGAATTAAAACAGTAACAGTTGATGCCACTTGTTGAAGCGGGAGAGAAGGAAGGGTAAAGAGATAGAAGGTTAACATTAAATTGCCCTTTTTCGAAGAGATTGCTAGCAAAGGAACTTGAAGACACAAGATCATCAAATCCGCAGTAAAACCTGGTGGTTTTCATTTCAAGCAAAAACCTCAACAGATACCAGGATTTTTCTTGAAATTGACTCGTGTTCATGCAAATTCTCAAGCCTCATATGCTTCAGCTGACGAATAAATCTATTTTTTTTTATCACTTTCTACTAGAATGAATAAAGACCAGCAAAAATGTACCCACAACCAAGCACACTGCTAGACACATTCCTTGTCAAATTTACTCTGGTCGATACTCATATCTTCAAACATAAATAGGATGATTTAATTAGCAGCAAGATATACATATATTTTTTTTGGATATGACAACTTGAGATCATTTTGAAAGACATGGAACATGCTTAGGGTCCTCCATTTGGTGCATGTACCATGAAAACCAGACTACCAATCTTGCATATATCTTCCTCTCGCAAAATCGGAGATACAAAAACGAGAGAGAAATCAGCTTCTGCGATGATACAGAAAACCAAAGGCACCAATAGCCATTAAATTATCATTTTGAGGAATTGGACAATGAGGATATGAAAGTGAGACCATATTTGTAAGAATGGCGATATCAGGGCCAGTAGACACACACTTTGACTAATTTCCAAGATTTGGTAACCCTATACATACAGACTTAAATAGATAGCAAGAATCACAGAATCTCACCTCTACTGGAATTTGAACTACAATCACTCCAGCACTTCAACCACTAAGCCACCCCCAGGGGTTCAAAAAGAAGAGGTCATTTTAGTTCTATTCATTTCACAACTTTCCTAGTTCCAGTACCCCACAAGATGCAACTTGTACTCTGCATATCTATGCATCTCTTTTTTCATAATCCCGGTCTTTCACACTCCTAAAGGCCCCCTCAAGCCACTTACTTACTCCTCCATGCCCCTAAATAAAGAGGAGGAGAGGGAAAGGCGAGGGCGGAGGAGACTGGTTACCCACTTTCCCTTGCTAGTGATGGATGCCCGAGAACTGAGTTCTGATGGAAATTAGCAGGAGAAGTGGACAGCATCCCACTCCATTGTTTAGGTTGTCATACCTTTATCTTTGACCTGTGCTTTCCTTAAAAGGATCAAACAGAGAAGAGAAATGGATGAATAAAGAGCGGATAAGAAGAAACACGCATGATGGACTTCATCTCTTCATGTACTTCTGGAGTCGTGTTACCTCATGAAAAGAAATGACCCAAACATATCCTTTCAGCGGCTCAGAGTATGATGAGGTTAAACACTTCAATTTTCTGGTTGATCATTTCCTTGATTTCACTTAAACTAATTGGGGATATTCCTGGGCCACATTGAAAGTACTATGAACGAATGAGAAACAAGAGAAGTGAATGAGACTTACTATTATTAAGTGTTAAACATGACACAGATCCAATATTTTTCCAGTACAACAATATCCATCACAGGACTCAACATTTCAAAGTGGAGAAACCAACTTGAGTTTGCTTATTATAGTAATATAGAAATATCACTGGAAAATAGGTACAAAGTTGTCAGAAAAGTTGTGGTTGCTGGGATGTTGCAAGGAAAATTGTAGTAAGAATATTATTTGAAAAGAGGCACGCTATTTGGCTGGTTGGTCAGCTGAATGAGACGCTGCGCCACCAGAAAGATCACCAGAAGAAACATGGCATTGCCAGAAATATCATTGAGGAAACGCACAAATCCGTTTGAACAGTTTCCTGAATAGAGGCCCACTGCTATGGGAGTGACATAGAAATTAAGAGCAGTGGTATTGGAATGGTCGCCAAAAGAGGTGTGGTTCCACTGGAGCAATCACTGTTAAGGGGCATAGTGCTGTCAAAGCCGTTGTCCAGAAAAGGCAGAGTGTGAGAGTGAGGATAGAGGCATGGCGTGCTAGAGTAATTGTCAAAGAGAAGGTGACGATGTCAGAACAATTGCCAGATAGAGGAAAAGAAGAGAAGACTTTGGCCAGGCAGACAGCCCTACACCAGAAAGAAAAAGACCTTTAGCCGGCCAAGCAGTGTAAGAGAACCAGCAGGCAGAAATTACTTAAAACTTAAGGATACCAAAAACAACAACATACACAGTGAAATCCCACAAGTGTGTCTGGGAGGTAGAGAGTATGCAGACATTAACATACCCAGTGAAATACCAGTCGCGGAGGTAGAAAAGCTGTTTCTACAAGACCTTAGACTCGAGTACAGCAATCAAAGTAAGTATGAAAAGGAAAAAGGACAGAGAAGAAAATATAGCAACTACTATGGAAACAGTAACAACAACAAAAGAATGCAATCAACGAAACATCATAAAAATAGATGGTGTTAAAAAGCAAACGCAAGACATTACAAGAAAAAAGCTACTACTACTACAGACACCACTAAGCCTAAACCCTTCAGGAAGCAAGAGAACCTTCCACTACATGTTAACCTTCTACCGTAATTTGTGACCTCCACACCCTCCTATCTAAGGACAGGTCCTCAGTAAGCTAGAATTGTGCCATGTCCTCTAATAACCTCTCCACAATGCTTTTTCAGCCTACCTCTACCTCTCCTTGCACCCACTATATCCAACCTCTCACACCTCCTCACAAAAGCATCTGTGTATCTCCTCTTCACATGCACAAACTATCTCAGCCTCGCTTCACTCATCTTGTCCACCACTAATTCCACTCCCACCTTTGCTCGGATATCCTCATTCTTAATCTTATCGCTCCTAGGATACCCATACATCCATCTAAGCATCCTCATTTCCTCAACATGCACCTGTTGAACATGGGACTATGGGAGTTCTTGATTGGCCAAACTCCATCCCACACAACAAATTGTAGAACTTGCCTTTAAGCTTAGGTGGTAGAGATATATTGAAGGCTAGGCAATTTGATGAATACAGGGTATATCAATTCATAGGTATTCAACATAAGACAAGTATATTCTAACATACACCTAATACTTTAAATATTCAAACTCTTAACATTGCATACTGACAACTTCCATTCTTTTGAAAAAAAAAAGAGCATTCTACTAAATTTAGGAAATTTTCATCAAATCCATAGTAGTAAATTCTCTATAGAATAATTTTTCATACGGAGAAAGTAGATAACAGTTGGTTGGTTGAAATCCTCTTAGTAGTTTTTCACCAGAGAGACATGGAATAGTCACCTTCTTAAATGACAGAGAACAAAGAAACTTACGAAGCAATCGTTGTTAAAAAAAAAAAAAAAAAACTTACAAAGCAATGACAACATTTTCCAACCTTGCAGCACCAAAGAATGGAACCTACAAAATTTAGTACAGAATTTCACCCAATAAAGGTTCACATGCAAATCTAGACCCCACTTTGTGGAACTACACTGGGTATTTTGTTGTTGAAAGGTGTATATGCAAATTGAGAATGACAACAGCAGGAAGATAATATCAGGACAATGAACAATAAAGTTCAAAAAATTGCACAGAAGACGAGAAGGGAGGAATTGAACATGTGCAACATGCATATAAAGATTTTCTGTTTAATTTGGAGAGTGCCTTGAATGGTGGTTGGTCATCAGTGTTCTCCACAATAATTCTCTAATCTGGTCTTTGAAGATAGATATAGAGGAGCCTAGTAGAAAGATGCATTTAAAAAAATAACGAAATTAAAGTCAAAGTTAAAAGAACTTGTAAATGAAAGACAATAAAAGGAGCACCCACACAATGTTGCTTCAATCTAGTGTGAAGATATTTGAAAACACTAAACCAAATTACGAGTATTATGAGTATAGAGCAGTGTCAACTATTACAAACTACTGAGATAGTTTCTTATTCAAGTAGTAAAGCAACTAACTATTTTGTTTAAATGGTTCCAATCATAGACAAAATGATCTTTCACCACCCTTCTCCCACACGTGGCCACTATGAAAGGGACAACTTCTTTGAGATTGATAGATTATAATGTGAGCTAAGAAGTGAACTTACGGATTGACAAGTTGAAGTCCTGAAAGCTCTCAGATTGGTAGCTCTAATTAGACAGTAAATCACATATTTGGCTCAAACCATAGTAATTCCATAAGCCTTACTGTTCCATTTCAGCTTATATAGCAATGAAATAGGATTTCACCCACACATATATCAATCTTTACAATTGCATATAGCTACTTGGAACAGTACCACATACCTCAGCAGCTAATAGATACCTTCTAGGTCATGTATGCATGCCATCCATCTTCTATCTTCAACATAACTTCTGATATGTGCTTGTATCCACACTACTTACATCGACACTTTTTTTTGAAGTCACATAACTGCTCTAAACCTTCACATAATTATTGGACACTTCATTTTTCTTCTATTTAATGACGCTCTCCACTAGCATGCAACTAATGCAGGCAAGAAATTCTTCACATATATAAAGCAATTACAAAGTAATGGCTTGATTCCTCATTAAAAGACCATGCCCGGACAATTTGTCTCTTATTGAACAAGAAATGATGGAATCACTTGTCGAATTCAACAATTTTTGGATTTATTCAGGACAGTGAATCTTATACCATACCAAATGTATTGAGTGGGTGTATATAGCAATCGCATACTTATTTTTACAAACAGACAAACATCCCAGAAGTTAGAGAAATCTTTTGATACATAATTTTAATTGGGTACGGAGATTTCTTAACCAAAAGCACATGAGACCATACAACTCAAGTAGTCACCAGTCCTGAATTCTCATTTTCAGCCTCCGTCTTTTTCAGGTAAAAGGAGCAAAGCCATGTTTGGTACAAAGTAATAAAATTCCAAAAGCTCATATTTTACGCGGAAAAATGCTATGCTAAGAAAATCAGTTGCCTCAACAGTAGCAAGTTTTCAACGGAGTAGGAAGGAAGTAGAAAATGTTGCACACACTTATTTAGTAAATTATTTCCAACAATTTCAGCAACCAAACACCATAATAGAATTTCACAAAGGAAAACATGTTGCCACACCAAAAAGGCCTAAGTTTCACATACTTGTTCATAATACATGATTATCAACAAATTCAACTAACTCATTATATATCTGTCATCTCAATTTTCCTTCACATGAAAACAATTAAACTAGCCACTAATACGAATAGCACATAGAAATCATCAATTGTTTCCTAATTCTACAACTACACATAAACTAATTCACTTTAGCCAACAAAAGCTATAGATCATCAATTGATTCTTTATTCAACAAAAGGGCGAAAAGTATAATAATACAAAGTGAAAACTGTACAACACTTCTATATACTGAAAAGACATCGTATATTTACAAGCAGTCAAGAGAATCTGATCAACGAATCATGGATAGGAGTAGAAGCAGCAGAAACAGCGGCAGCAGCGCCTGAAGCAGCTACAGTACAAGTAGCGTGGCTGTGATCGGCGATTGCCAGTACTGGAGTTTGATGGAGCAGTAGTGGAAATCGGCACTGTGTTCTCCATCAACCCAGATGAATTCTTTATACCTAGTGAGCAGTACTACAATTTCCTACCTGTTTATTGGTGAAGATTCTCAACTTTCGTTCGGGTTCGATAGAAAAGGATTGAAAATGAAGCTCATTAGGGGGTTGTTGGGTATGGAAGAAATATTTCAATTTTCTCTATTTGATTTTTATCAAACTTCCATTCAATTTTTTATATTGAAAAGTATGCGATATTGAATCAAATTAGTTCACTTCGGTTTGATTTAATGTCTTTTAAAAAAAATGATATAAAGAAAAAAAATAGAAAAAGCTCAAAAATATTTTAAATAATTTAAATACGTTGTTAAATTATATTTGTGATTTAAAATTATCTCTTCTGTTCTCATGGATGTTGTCACACAGACTACTTCACCTAAATTCAATGCAGTTAAGTCTCACTTAACTCAAATTGTTTTCAGCCTAATTTACCTAACGCTCAATGATGTTTTTCTTTCTTTTCGCCTTGGATTATTTTTTTAAAGCTTAACATTAAAATTTAATGCACATAAGATATATGGGTAAATCCAACCTTATATTAATAATTAAAACAAATACAAAGGACTCACTCGTTAGGATAACAATTTTATTCTAACTTCAATTTCGACTTAGGCACAATAACAAGTCGATTGCTGTCTTTGATACCTTTCTAAATTTCTCACGTTATTTTTAAGTGTCTGAGTGAAATTCAAGACTTAATTCTTCCCTCTTTAATTCTCTTTTTTCTGTCTAAAACGTCCAACACCAAAGTTGTCCATTTATAGTCTAAATGGCAGCCTTGTATTTTAGAATGCATAATTTTGTGACACATGTCTAACACTTGTCAAGCAGCCCACTAAATTAAACTTCGATTAACATCCCAAACTGATAGGAAGCATTCAAGTTTTGAATTCAAAAGGCTATTACAAGCGATTACAAAAAAATAATTATCGCATGTGCTTGGTATGTGACTTTGGCTGACTGGATTTCGGCCCTTTGTTGCATTTTTCTTCCATAATTTTGGCTTCAATGCAATGTAACATTGTATAGTTATTGCTTCATCAAAGTCCACCCGAATTCATCTACCGATTTTCCATGTCGGCGCGTTATCACTTGTCGCTGCCTTGCCTGTGTTGCCTTGACCATGCTAACTTTTTATTCACTCATGTCATTCATTGTTTTCTTACTGTGTTTCATTCATATTTGACTATGCTTAAATTTAGCTCAGGTCGACTTTTTTGCACTTGACCAGATCACGTGCTTTTTCATTCCAAATTTATCCACAACTGATGCCTATTATAGTCCATCTCATGCCATAATTTGATGCTTGCCAACGTCCATGTCAGTTTCTTATGAGCATTATTTGACATCACTAAGTCATGCCAAAACTTCGCCCACATACATGATTGATTGCACCTGCACTTTAGCTTTAGACAAAGTCGTTCATAATAACCCTTTATCACAATCGTGCTTACATCGAGTAATTATATCATGATCCTTGTCAACTTAAAACTTCAACTTGAAAATTCTAATATCAAATCCCAAAATTCACTAATTTCAACTTCAAAATTATATTTAATAAATTTTTGTAAAACTTAAAACTTGGACATAATTTTTAAATTTTGTAAAAATAAAATAAATTAAGCCATATTCATTACAAAAAATAATTAGTCAAGCCATTATTCCAGAAAATTCCATCATCAGTTGAATCATGGAGTCGTCTTCATCGTATGAGTTGAATGCCTCTGTATCATCGTTGGAATTTCTCACTTTATTCCTTTTTCGTCCCCTTCTGGCTATCGTCTTCGTCTTCTCCTTACTTATCTTAGGTTTGTATTTTTATGGTAGTAATCCGGAATTTGAGTTATCGATAAGAATAAGAACTTGATCTGAGATTTGTGCAGGTTGGTTTTTAGCTTGGAAATTAGTGCTGGTTCATGTTCCTTTGGTACAAGAAATCTTTGGTTTGCGGAAGAAACCCGTTATGCCGAAACCTGAAAATCGACGGCGGTATACTCAAATCTACAACAATATGGACTCACAATCTGATGCTTCCCAGTGGTAAAAACTTTTCTAGTCTGAGAGTCTGCAGCTTTACAACTAATTTTAGCTAACTGACCTTCATTAATGTGGTGAAAGTTTAGATAGTCAATGAACGGGATCTCCCTTGTTGTTATTAAGTTGTTTTAACAAAATGCTTTAATTGTTAATATTCTCAAAGCAAAGGATATGATGTAAACTTGAACAAGAAAACTGAATTAAGCTGAACAAGATAACTGAATTAAACTTGAACAGGAAACCTGGAAACTGAGGAAAGTAAGGACTGGATAAATCTGTTATTGGACAATGTACCTTCTTATTTAGGAATTCATTATAAGGTTTGATAAAAAACACAGAAGGTAGGATGTAATAGTAACTGTTTTGGTAAGGAGAGCTTTATAAGCCGCATGAACAATTTGATAGGGTTCATGGTATTTGGAAGAAAGTTTAGACAAATGCTTGCTAGACGAAATCAGTTTTTTGTATGATTGGATCTTAAGATATTCCGGGTATCCCACCTTGAAAACTGCTTATCTGATCTTATCTAGTTGGCTTGGTCAACCATTTTGTGCTGAGATCTGGATAGATGAATCATTGGAATTTAAGCAACTGTAATTTGAATTCCATGGTTATTGAGAGTTAAAACTTCTGTCTACTTTGGTCACCTTGAACAGAAGTTAAATGCATGGTGGGTTGGGGTGGTGTTGGCCATACAAATCTTCATAGCCATTATTAGTGCTAGCAGTTCTTTGTCATACACATACATATCTTGGTGTTGAGAAGAAATGTGCTAGCTTAAATAAGCATATTGCTTGCCCTTTTTGCATTGGTACTGTCCCAATATCTACATCATATGCATCTATCTTCATAGTGAAAACGAAGAAAAAGTCAGTTAATGTCAATACTGAAGCTGAAGTTAAAGTTGAAGATGTTGCTGTTGATCTGTCAGTCCAATTAAACCCACCTTTCTTTAGCAAATCAATTAGGGGTTTGCTAATCTGTCTATATGGACCTCTTGTAGTACCTTACTAACCCTAAGAATCCCCTCAACTATTTGGTGTTGGCAGGCATAGGCCGTTACTGAACTATCTGGACTTTTTTTAGGGTTAGTAGAAACCCCTTTGAGGAAAGAAGATTGAATGACCTAACTCAATGCTTGCCGTAGCAAAATGACTGTTAGATCTTTTTGCATGAAAGTAACCCTCAAATGCTTAACATGCTCCTCCAAATTCTAACTGAAGATCAATATGTCATCAAGAAAGATCAAGATGAATTTCCTCAATTACTCCTTGAACACATGATTCATTAAGATCTGGAAGATAGGAGCATTAGTTAGGTCAAAAGGCATGATTAAATATTCATAATGTGTCCTAAAGTCAGTTTCGTGGACATCAAGTACATTATAATATGATGATACCCAAATCTGAGATCTATCTTTGAATACACATGTTGACATCCCAATTCATCCAACAATTCTTGTATGATGAGTATGTGATATTTGTCTTTGATAGTAAATATGATTTAGAGTCCTGTAATTTTCGCACAGTCGCTGGCATCTTTTTTGCCTACCAACGCCAATAGAAAAGCAAATGCGCAAATGTGTTACAAACTGTGTTGTATCAGGCCTTGTATTGATTGATTGGACCTTTCCTTCCATGTGATATGATCAAATTGGTCTATATAGGGAGTCAATTCTTTTGGTTCCATGAATACCACCTCATGTTCCTGCAATATCACTACTGGTTCTTTTCCTTGATATTGTACACTCTTCTCTTCTTTACCCTTTCACAGTTGAGCATTGCCATGGCTGACCCTGACAGTGTCAACCAACTTCATTTAAAATGCCACACCCTTTAGTGAAAACAGTTTACCTTGATGCTCAAACAACATAGTCAACTTCTTAAAGTCAAGCAAGATGTCCCCTAAGTCACATAGCCGCTGCACTCCCAAAACCACGGCTTGGAAACTTAAGGGTAAAAAGAGGAAGTCAAGTTTAAATACAATGCATTGCAGTAATCATTCTAGTCCCTAGCACATTCCTGATACTAGCACTGGATTCCCGTCTGCCAAGTTTGCATCAAGGAGCTGACAAGGGTCCACCTTCCGGCCCATCCTAGATACTAAAACACATCAAGGAAGTTGTGACTTGTGAGTGGAGCCAATATCAATTAAGATGTTGAAAGGTCTTCTTTGTCCATAATCAGCAACCCTCCATGTTATATAACCACTTTTCCCATTAATAGCATCAATAGAGATATCATGTGCCTTTGCCATCCATTCCTTATAAATCTGTTCTTCTTCCTCCACTATTTCTTCTGCTACCTCTTCTTTGAATTCCAATAAGAATAATTGTGCCTTGGCCTTACACACATGTTCAGGTTGCTGTTTCTCATCACATTTATACATAACTCCTCAACTCTCTTTTCACTCAGCTCACCAGGGCTCAAACTTTTCTCTTTTTTTTTTGGAGACGAGGATAACTGTGTTTTCACGAAAGTCTCATCATCAAATAATGATGAGCATATGCCACTTACTATCTCATCAGAGCATATGAAAACTACCCCGAAGGAGATTACGAATTTCCTATGAAATCAACAAAAAGTTTTATATCCCCCGTCATATCCTTTTTATACCAAAAGTACAAAAGGCTATGGCTATTCATTCTAATCTTCTGAATATTGTTACTCTTATCGTTAAAACATTTAGCATTCCTTTCTTTCCATAAAGTCCCAAATGCAAACTGGGATTAACTCCCACCAGTCTTCAGCAGAGTGTCTTCTTCCTATCTCCTTCCAGCTGTCAAGTAGACCCTCAGTGGTCTGTGGAATTACTCAACATACACCAAGGATGCAAAAAAACTTGTTCCATAGGTTAGCAGCTACCTTGCAGTGAAGGAACAAGTGTCCATTGACTTCGACTTCTTGGTCACACATAAAGCACCTTGAGCAAATCTGCCTTCCTTTTTTTTGAAGAACTTCATGTGTTAAGCATGCCCTTCTGCACACCAACCAAGCAAAACATGAGACCTTTAAAGGTATTTTTATCTTCCAGATTAGCTTCTAAGGCCAAATTCTATTCTGTGTTTGACCAACATTGCTACTCCAGTAACAAGACTTCACTGTGGACACTCCTTTCCTTTGTAATCTCCACATAGGCTTATCATCTGAGTGGAAGTACCTGGAAAGGTATTTAGGAACTGAAATAGAGTAATGATTCTCTCTATTTCCCGTCATTAAGCGCTTTTCTAAACAAGAAATTCCATCACTAAGGGCACCACATCTAAAAGATTGTGCCCTTGTTCTGTTGGCTGACACTTTGATCTTAAACAAGTTTGGAAATAATGTTGCTAAACTTTCTTCCCCAATCCATAGATCATTCCAGAATTCAGTTTTCATGCCATTCCACACTCTTATGTCCTTGTTTTGTGCTCCCAAAGGCTTACCCAGATACTTTGTAGGTAGAGTTGCTATTTGTTAACCAAGGTTGCTAGCTAGCAGCTCCATATTGCTTACTTGGTTAACTGGGTAGAAGAAACTCTTTTTCCAATTAACATGTAGCCCAGAACTACCTTTAAAGATAGTGAGAATTGCTCTGATATCTCTTTTATGTCACGCCTACCTTACAGAAAATCAATGAGTCATCTGCACATAGTAGGTGAGTTACCCCCACCTCATTATCCATACTTCCATGCATACGAGCTTTAAAACCTATTAACCATCCATTAACATTTGCTCTCCTAATCATGTATTGAGGCCTTCCATGGCTTAAATGAATAACAAGGGTGAGAGGAGGTCCCGGTCTTAGCCCCCTTTGAGATTGGAAGAAGCCTTCACGATTTCTATTTATAATTAGTGAAAACTTAATAATGGATATGCAGAATCTTACCCAATTATGCCATTTCCTCCCAAAGCCCATGTCCATCAAAATCTTTAGCAGAAAAAGCCAATTGACATGATCATATGCCTTTTCTATATCCAGCTTGCATAAGATTTGAGCCTTCTTTTTGGTGAACTCTGGAGTCCACTAATTCATTAGCAATAAGGGAAGCATCTAATAATTTGCCTTCCTTTTAGGAAAGCCATTTGATGTCATCAACCAGCTTCCCCACTTCCCCATTACAATCTTCAACCTCTCAGTAATCAGTTTGAAAATAATCTTATATATTCCCACTATCAATGTCCAAATGACCTCTAATATATCGAATGTTTTAATGTCATTAGCAGTAAAAGACAATAGGGATTTACGTCGTTTCAACCTAATAGTTGTTGGACTTGTTAGTTTACTTAGTAGAAATAATATATGAATTAGGAGTAGCTAAAGATACATAAATTTTTTTATTGTACAATAATGAAATAATTTCAGCCATAATATTCTTGATTTCGGGTAATATTCCGTCAAATCTCTTGCGGCCTGTAACTCAATAATTTCAGCAATTCTTCAAGTAAACTGTTCTTATTTACCAGCTTCCCAAAATTTGCTTTGCTCATTCCTTCATTTTTCCTTGAGCATTCTTAATGTAACATGTAGTTTGTTGTCTGGGCATCCTTCCACCAAGAACTCATTCCACCATGCTTGTATCAGATCAGTGATGCCTTCCACCATGAGCAACCATTTCTAAAACTTGAAGCTTGACCTTTTCTTCTCCCAGTTTCCACATTCTAACATGATTGGGGAGTGGTCAGAGAGCACTCTAGGTAGCAGCTTTTGCTTGATATTTTTGAATTTTTCTTCCCATTCCATAGAGAGTAAAAATCTATCTATCCTAGCTGCACTTTGGATGATCAAGGCCTCTAAACCAAGAAAAGATTCCACCATGTAAATGGGGGTCATGTAATTCGAGAAAATGATCAAAATGGTCCTTGATATATTGGGGTTGCTTTATTTTGGTCCTTAATATATTTTAGGTGATTGAGATAGTCCTTCATGTATGACAAAATGTGTTCAATTTAGTCTTTTACCCTAAACTTAACAATTTACACCCAAAATCTGTTAAATATAACGGTGGGCCCCACATAACTTACAAAATCCACCATTTTTACCATCTTTATTAGCTCAAAGAAAAGAGTTTCACGAATTCTAAAACACCATTTTCTCTAACATCTAACCACACAACTACAAAATAAGTATTACAAAAAGGTTGAATAATTATTGTATTTGGAAGATATGATGAACAAAATTCGTCCGTGTTTCTGATTGAACAATGACAGATAACACCTTTCTTTTTCACTCTACCGATCTCCCATTATTATTATTTTATATTTTTATGTTTTATTGCCAGATTTGTGGGAAATAGCTCAATGATTGTATACCTTTTGGCAATATACGCTATACCAATCTAAAGCATGGGCAAATGATTTTTTTTGTGTTTTCTGCTAATGCTTTATGATCTATTTTGGAACTGTTCTATTGTGAAATTTTTCAAAATTATTTGTCTTTTGTTGTGATGAATTCAGGAAAATTTCACATGTGTGACTTTAGAGAGAATTATTTTGTAATTGTGTGTTTAGATGTTAGAGAAAATGATGTTTTAGAATTCATGAAACTCTAATCTTTGAGCTAATAAAGATGATAAAAATGGTGGATTTTGTAAGTTATGTGGGGTCCACCGTTATATTTAATAGATTTTTGGTGTAAATTGTTAAGTTTAGGGTAAAAGACTAAATTGAACATATTTTGTCATACATGAAGGACTATATCAATCACCTAAAATATATTAAGGACCAAAATAAAGTAACCCCAATACATCAAGGACCATTTTGATCATTTTCTCCATGTAATTCCATCTCCTGTATCCACGTTGAGAACTCAGACATAACAAAGGAGATTTTGTCATCTTCTTTCTTCCATAGTTCTGTTGGTATTGAAGTCTCCATAGGTGATCCAAGGACCATCACAGATGGTTCTAAGCTGATACACTTCATTGAGGTACCAGGTATAGAAGTTATGAGTTGATACAAACTCATAAGTAATGGAGTATTGCCCAGATTCAACTAGAATCCTGCTCCAGCTTCTACTGTCCCACATCATAAGAACCCCTCCACAGACCCTCAGCTTCCAGGTAAGCACACTTCATCCATCGGCTTGACCATAATTGCTTAGCCATTACTTCAACTTCCTTGCTGATCTTTGTTGCTTGAAGCATTAGACATCCACCTTTTGCATTAAAATCTTCACCATTTCTCTCTTGCTTTGGTTGTTCAACCCTCTTACATTCCAGGTCTGCAGATTAACTTTCATTTAGAAGTTAAACGCAGATCGTCCCTCTACTTCTTTTTCCTTCCACTTCTTCATTCAAGCTGTATTTTAGGTTTTTCAACTTGTTTTTCCCAATTCCACTGCTCTTTGGTGTAGAAGCTGTGCTTACCAGGCCCCATCATAAGATTGATAGTTGTCATTTCTTCTCATCAATCTTCATCAACAAGGCTTTGGTTTCTTTTTCAACCCTTCAAAAGCCACCCTTTATGTATTACTTATCTCTTGATTTTGTCATCCAAGGTAAGTTAAGTAGGCTTGGACAAATGATAGTTGGTGTAGTCAGTTGTTTAACCTTAGCATAGGAAGGTAGTAAATCTGTTATTATTGGAGTTAGAAAGTGATGAAGTACTCTTATGTCTTTCGATTGCTTAAAGAATATTGATCTGGAAAAGAATAAGGTCTATGAATTCATAAAACATCACTAAATTCTGGCTTTAATCCTTTAGAATTATGTAGATAGCATGGTTAGAATCCATATGAATCCTAGTCATGGCTCTATCAAAGGATTCCTGAAACTCAATCACTCCCCCAGTTTGTTTCATGAAACAAGTTACTTATAGGATCATCATATTAACCCCCAAACTGATCAACCAAAGCAAAAATATACTCTTCCCAAGTAAAGATACTGATCAGATTATAGATCTGATAAGGGAGTCTGTAGTTTAACTTTTTGGTGGTGGCCAGCATATCATTACTGCTGAAGAATACAAACTTACCAGTTTAAAAAAATAAAATAAAAAATATACTCTTCCCAAGTAGGAGGTGGAAGATGTTATCTATTCCTCATGAAGGTCTGATGCCACTGGAGAGCAATATCATCCAAGTGTAACGATACCACTATCACCTTCAGATGGGGCCAAACTTCTGTGAGAAAACTCGTTCAACCTTATACCACCAAGCTTAGAAATCCGTCCTAGTAAATATAGGGAACTCACTCTTTTACAACCTAGTGAAAGACTGAGAGTGCTCTTGGAGTAAAAAGGTGTTATAGTGAGCTAGATTTGAATAATAGATGTTTTGAGAATTTGGGTAACAAACTGGGTTTTGAGGTGTAGGGTTCATACACAGTTGTTGTATATACCGGTTGTACTTATAGAAAAAAGTGTATATTGATTGCTTCTCCTAGACCCCTCTGCCTCTCTTAAGAAATCATGGAATGGAACCTCATACAATCGACATTAGTTTTTTTTATGGCCATATCTTCTAGATATAACATTAACCACCCGAAATAGCCTAGCCTTTTTGGGAAGTTTATTTCTTTGATGTCAGTATCCATTTAACCATCACAAATAACTTAAATCTATCTTAAAGTTTACTCGCTTTATCTAAGTATCTATTTTGCATGCTGCTCTGCTAACTTGAAATTCATGAAGAATAACTTTTTACATGTCAAGTTTTTCTCTTTGGTGCTGTGAGAGAGTCAGTGAAACTGCCGACTATTGATAATCGGTCTCTTTACTATTTAGAATCACTCCAGACTTTCTCATTTACAATCCTAAATGCCCTGGTGTAATGTAATGATCATTCTTACTGCATAATTTTACATCTTGAGTGCACTTCCTGTGACCTGTAATTCGTGATGAGTCCTTTGTGGTTGAAGACTGTTCAATAATTGTCTTGGTCTCATAAATCACGAACATACCAGTGTTTACCTGTTAGATGTCCTTAACATCTGATCTTTCTCTGTCAAAAATATCATTCATGCTAGTTTAGGTACTACAGAGTTGATACATTGGTTAACATAAAATACTGTAGAAGTAAATTCATCGACACTCTTTAAGTTTTTCACCTCTACTTTCAGTATCGAAATCTCAAGGATGCTGGCACATATTGTTGTATTATTACCTTTTGCCTAAACATAGCATATCTTTTAGTTAAGAAACACATCTATTGATGCAAAAGCTTTTTCTTCACAAGTCATTTCAGCGATTGCTGTATAATTTTATTTTATTTCAAGCACAAACAACACAAGGATTGTGATAATATTGTGCAGATACCTCTTGAGCTTGCATATATCATTTTTGGGGCTTTTTGTGATTTAGTTCGACTTTAGACTGTATAGGTAAGCCCTACGCGTGATGGTATCCACTGTCCAGGATTAGAAGCTGAATTTTCTTGTGCTTTGGGGAGCATCAGGTGTCAATCTCTGTAATCAACACACTTATCTTCAGCTGATCCTCATTTTCCCACATGTATAGCGCTGTTACATTAGTGTGTATAACATATGGGTTAGTGATTGCAAGGCCAAAAAATATTTGCAATGAATTAGCTAATAATGTAAGCATTTGGAGAGAAAAGTGTCCATTATTTCTTTGTTTCTTTTTACTTTTTGTTAAGTTGACATGTTACAATTGTAATTATATTGTGGCTTCAGTGTAAGTGGGGTTGATGATTTTTCAAAAGCCATGCAAATCGTGTGGAAACCTTAGATTTGAACCTGTTTGGGAGGGCTAACTATCAGTTCATGAAACCGAACAAGGGAATTTTCGCGTATATTATATCAGCGTGAAGCACGTACACTAAACTAGTTCTAGTATAAGTGGTAAAGTGAGTTCAAAAGTATAGTTCAAAAGTATATTTTAGCATATAAGGTTATAGATTAAATTTTAAGTTTGACAGTCTAGCTCTTTTTTTAGTTCCTTGCCAAAAAGAAAAGATTATGGTGATGTGAGAAGCTCAAATCCCTCCGTCGTTTTTTACTTGGCATACCTATTAAGAAAACAACTGATATAGTGAGTGTATCATTTTATCTTTTATTAATTGATAGAATCTTAAATATATTTACTTACTATATTTTTTCAAAACATTAATTCAATGTTAGTAAATTGAGGCTATATTAGAATTTTTATTTTTATCATTGTTTAATTTGTAATTAAAAAATGACAAGTAGTAGATAATATTTGACAAGTATATAGGGACAGGAGTGAGTTGTTTGACCTTTTTTCTTAAGAAGAATTGTTTTGAAAGAAAAGTTTTTTTTTTTTTAAAGTAACTCTTTAATTTCAATTTTTATATGACATGATCTAGATCACAAGATTATTGAACATTTTGATGCATTTGACATGTTTCTAATGCTATCTAATTATACAATGTTCATATTATATTTACTAATTCTCTGTATAATTTGAAATAATTACATATTGTCTCACTAATTATAATTTCATACTCAATTTCAAATTAGCACACCTAGATATATGTATTTTTGTTATAAAATTTCCTTAAATAGGGAGAAAGGCGAGCGAGATGGACTATATATTCCACTTGCATGTAAGCACACTAGATACATATATTTGAAATACGAGATATATATCGAATTTGATCTGAAATACAGATATATAAGGAGAGAAGTGAGTAAGATATTTGATGTCTTATGATTTTTTGTATGTATATATAAATGTCATCTAGTACTATAATATTAATTTCAATTGTGAACTCGACAAAATTGATGTAATCTAGACGAATCTTAGTGACGGAGTTGAAAATTTAATGAAGAATGTACAAATCTAAATATACATTCATAATTATTATTTAATCTATATGTATCATATAATTTTTCAATGAAAAATATGCATTTGACCCAGGTGCGAATCTAGCTTTATAGGTGGGGTGTCACGGTACCCACTGGCCTCGATTAAAATTTTGTGTATATATATATATATATATATGTATGAGTATAACAAGTTTTTTATTTAATATACCTGCCACCCAATAAACCATATGTTGAATGGTGCAACGGGCAAAGGATGCACCTTTCCAATAGGGTGTCGAGGATTCAAATCTCCATGACAGCACTAGGTTTTTTTTTATTTGCTTCAGTTTCTCGATTCCCTCAATTAGTTTCTTTATTTGCTACTTTTTACTTATTTACTTATCTTTAATTGATATGAGTGTTGCGTGGTGTTCTATATTAATTATAGATTAATATTAAATTTTGAATTGTCACATATGATATTAATAAAATAAAAAATTAAGTGGCCTTTTTTTTAAAAAGAAAAAAAAGCTTTTAAAAAGATGGATATAATCATATTAAACCTTTTGAATGTAAAGGTTCTTTCAATCTTTAACGTCAAATTAAGTGGATATAATCGGATTGAAACTATAATTTTTTTCTCAACTATATGATATTAGATGATATATACAAATTTATATTTTAAGGAGAGAAATCTCTTGTTTTTTCAAAGTTGTAGAAAATAAGGTCTCTTATTCCTAAACAAATATAAAAGAAATATCATATAGGTGTAAATATTTTATATTATAATATTAAAAAGAAAAAAAAACAGTACTAAAGATGTATGTATATATTTGATCAATGTATAAATATCAAGAAAACTAAATAACCCGCATCATAACCTAAAATGAAGAACCGATCCATTTATCATTTAGATGATATGACACCCCTAGCTTTCGAATTCTGGATCCGCCTTTGATTTGAGCACCCTTCACTTTAAATGGCTCGGCCCATGCGGGGTCTGTTGTTGCTTCCCAAGACTTCAAATGCTTGTGGTTTTGATAATGAATGAAAAATATTTTGCTAGAAAATATTTTTAAAAGAAAATAGTTTCTAATCTAGAAGTCAAGCTCAATAACTGATTCGAGACCGACCTTGACCTTGACACGACGACACTCAAGATACAGACCCGGAACCTGACATTTGAACTGGAACGTTTAACCGACCTCGAGATTTGAATAGGAACACAACCCCAACGATCAATCCCTTGAGACCCGACCCTTACTCTCAAATCGGGACTGGACAATCAATCCGGGATTCGACATTCAAATATGGATACGTCCTCGACGACCAATTCAGGATCCAACCCTCACACAGGACCCGATGCCCGACCTTGACTCTCGATTTGGGATCCAAAATGCAAACTGAGATACGACTTCTGAACTAGAAATCGACACTGATCTGGACGAGGGAGTTGAGTCTTAAATCGAGAATTATGAGTCATATCTCGAATTAGTATAGAAAATTGGTCTCAGAGACTTGATTTAGGATAGAAAGTTGAGCAGTGAGGTTGAAAAAGAGTTTGGGAAAATATTTTTCTCACTTCTATCTTCCTAAAATTTGAAGAAAATAATTCATAAAACGTTTCAGCCAATAAAATAAGAAAAAAATAATTCATACCAAACACAAACTATGGACTTCCAAGAGAATAGGTCATAAGAGAATGAAATTAATTATATAAATTCTTGACTAATCACCTTTCTTCTTTTAAATCCATCATATGTCAATATTAAACAAAATAAAAGTATTAAAAGTTCTCTACTTACATCGAAATCTCTTATAAAAATAAAAGTACTAAAAGTTTTCTACTTACATCAAAATCTCTTATAAAATATAATACGCTGACACTAACTGAGTTGTAGTGCACTGGTGAAAGTACTGCTTCACCCTTAATAAAAAGGTCTCGAGTTTGAACCCTGAATATAGAAAAAATCTTGTTAAAAGCGCCACTTCAATGGGCCCTACAGTGTGCCGACAATCATATTTTATATAGAAGGCAAGGGACAAAGTAGATATACATTAAATTTGTTTTTGTTTTTAGCTATGTCTTCTTAGAAGAAAGGAACCAAAGAGTGAAGTTTTGTAGAGTAGCATGATCAGGACTATAGTGATTTTGTATAAAATAGAGCAAATCAGATCATGTGAAGTCGGGATAAATTCTTGAGTTGGAAACAAGAAGATGTTGTGGGGGTACTATCACTTTGTCTTCCTTTGGACACAAGAAAAAAGCCAAAGATATCCTTTCAACTTGTCTCTTTACAATTGCTCTGTGCAAGCAACTTTTGTATATTCCATTTGATAGTGCCTGCAATTTTACATGTAATATCTACTACATATTTGAGTGTTATATATATATACGGTTACAAAATTTGTTAGTACCTATACTAACGTGATACACTTTTAACTTCGTACAAACTTGGTTAAACAGACTATAGAACCTTCGATGTACCTAAGAGATGAAAGGTGAAGTTGCAAGCATTAGACTATAGTACTTTAGCCTGTGTTCCACAACCTCTTCTCTTCATTCTAGCTAGCCCTAGTTTGGAGGTGCAAATTATTTTTACAATGATTAGTTAAATTTAGAATTATCTTTATAAAGTTGTCACATACATACTTGTTCTCTTTATCAAACAAACCCTAATCTTGTTTCTATTTGATATATGATATTAAATTAGAAATTGTAGTCATGACATGTTTTTTAGATTATTTGGAGCAATAATCTGACCCTATTTCACACAAAAACTCTGATAATCTGGATATTGTTGATAATTTAAATAGTAAAATAGAAAGCCGACTCTTACCTCCCATAGGTAATAGTAAGCTATGCATATACTCTACTCTTTCCAGACCTTAGCTACTTAGTCAGATTCTACTGGATTGTTGTTGTTGTCTTGATGATTCATTTCATAATTGACATTCGATTTGTCGTAACATACTTTAAAATAATAATAATAGTAATCTGTGAACTAGATCATGACAAATTTAACATTGGACTCACCGTAAAAGTGTCACCAATATTGATGACAAGTGCATCATGCCTAGGTTGGATTGATTTCCATTTGTTATCAACAAAGACTTCCAATCCTCCAACTTGATCTTGATGAAGAATTGTAAATGAATTAAAATCACAATGAGGTGGAGTTCCAAAGACTAAATTAGGATCTTGACAAGTTGGATAGAAATTACATCTCATTATAGAACTTGTATCTTTGAAAAATTCTTTGTAGTAACATTTTTCTAAACCAAGGCTTATACCAAGTATCTCCATGATTGTAAGTCCTACTCTCTTCATTTCCTTGCAGTATCTCTCAAACACCAATCTGTTTGGGGGGGTGGGGGGGGGGCAAATGGTCATGTGGTAATTATAGGATCAACCGACTTCAAAAAATAAGACAGATTACTTGCTACTTTAAAACATATTGACATACAAGTAAGTCTTTATATTAAAATCGACTTACATATATTAAGTCGATTAGGTTTTACTTCCTTTTAACTTAGGACACAAATTCAGTGCGTTTTTTTCAAAATACTTACGCTATTAAGAGTCTCTTTACATCTTTTGTGTATCATTTCAGTCTTTTTAACTATCAATATGAAATTTTGTTCACGCACCTGAAACGTAAATTAGTTTGTAAATATATGTCAAATATATTGGAGTTCCTTTAGACAATATATTTGTTCATCTTCCATGATATATTTTAGATCAGCTACAATGGTAGATTGATTTGGTATTTTATTGACATGTAAAATGAATAAATTGAGTATAATTCTTTTTAATGAAATGATAGTTAAATACTACTAATTTTGTATATGGATAGTATGTAGAATCTTTACATTATCAAATTAAATAAATCTAAATTAACATGTCGTGATAAACATAATGTGGTCTTTAAAAATA